TCAGCACAAACATTTAGCATTCTCACAACCAGCAATTAGCATATGATTCAGCGTTTTGATTGGAAGCCTTGTTGTGCGTGCGATGTTTGCTCAGCAAGTGGAGCCGCACTAAATTAGCATTAATGAATGTTATGGCCTCCCATCAGCTTGACAGGTCTATTCTTTAGATCTGTTTTAATTGTAATTAAGTCCTGATTAACAAGCCGGGGGGATGTTTCATTCTCTGTTCAGGAATATGGCATAATACACGATGAAGGCAATCGGGGAGTTGTCATTTTATTTGTTAATGAGGCTCAGCCATGTGTCAAAACAAACCTAACTTATTGTCTCTAAAGTGGCAATGTTTGGAGGCCTCTCTTCTTCATTTGGTCCTTTGTGGATGCAATAAATGCTTACCCTTTGTTTGTTTAGGAAAAAAGAAGTTACGGTTTAGCACTGGTTCAGATCTCACCAGACTTCTTTATCGTATCTCTTCTCTCATTACAGTACATTCTACTTAAAGGGATTAAAAGCCCTCCTTTAGTAATTAAAGTAAGAAAAATAGATTTGCGTCTTGAAGCAGCAGTGTGGGTAAAACTGAAACAGGAGCATTGAGACTGCTTCAGTCAGTGCACCTGAAATCTCCTAATGTAGMTCATTTTAGAGTTTTAGATATTTTTCTACTTAAATTGTGTGTTTATTTGTGAGCATATTAGCTGGAAACCCGTTTGTTTTTGCCTGACGTGATGTCTTTGTGCGGTTATCTCCCTGGATAAATGTTCAACGCTTCGCCGTGTCTCACCCCAGCGTCCGTGTCTGTACTTAACAAATAAAAAGAAGCCAGGGCAGAATTCTCAATTCACAAATCACTTTAACATTGTTTTGCCACCTGCCACAAAGCCTAAAAGGAAGGAAACTCTCAGTGTGAACACCATGGCCCAGCCAACGAGGCCTGAGTGGGTTTCACCGAGTAATTTCAGGGATGACTGTTCCCACATTTGTTCTGCAGCGTGGATGTGGGCCATAAACAGCCAGAAAAGGACTTTCCTCTGTGACAAAACACAGATACCTGCTGAAAGTGGTGTCCCCAGCAGAGACCACAGACCCAGTCTGGGATTACAGGAAGTAATGGAGACCACATAGATATCAATTAACTTGAAGCTGTGCAAAGGAGAAATTGGTGATTTCCACTTGAAATGCTTTCTTCTTAAATTGGAAATGTGGTGGGGAAAAAAGGTGAAGACAAAAATGTGCTTAATGTAACCATAAACAAGAGACACTGGGAGTTACTTTTGGCACAGCCACAGAGATTTGGGATTCTGCAGGCAGTCTTTGATTGCAGCATCCATCTTTCTTGCTTAGCAGGAAGGAAMCTCTGGGATAAAATGTCTAAAAGGTCTCCTAGGTTTGATTTTTGTTATTATCAGCAGCACGGCTCCGCTTGTTGAGTTTGATCTTTTCATTGCATGGCAGACTGTGATGATTTGTTTTATAAAACTGCCTGGCGGTTGGAATTCCCACATTATCTTTTATAAAAATAATGTGAGATTTTTAAAGCAATATCCTGAAACACTGTTTTATTAATGCGCCAGCTAATGGATCACTGAACACGCCGCTCATCCTTTTGGTGGAATTTTCTCTTTTGTTTTTTGTTTTTTTCGCCCGCTGACTTAATTCACCCTTCCAGACAATTGGGTGTCATTTCACATTTAATAGTCCTCTGCCAATCTCTGTACGTCTCTTTTACAGTAAAAAAAAAAAAAAAAAAAAAAGAACTGAGACTGGACAGACACGTGAAAAAGTTTTGTGCTTGTGTTCGTTTGTTTTTACTTTTGTATTACTGGCAGCTTATCTCAGTCAAACCTTCAGATGTGTTAACGGGTGTGTGTATGTCCTTTACAATCAAAATACATCCTAAAGAAAATGATCTTTTAGCTTAATTTAATTCCTTTGTGCAATCTTTCAATATTGTTTTTACCTGTAATATTGGTAGTCTGCTTTCTTGACAGTGTTGTCTAAAGCAGAGGTTCCCAAACTTTTTATCTTCTGACCCACAAAATATCCATGGCAAAAACTATCATCACCCTTTAAATTTATTTCTGGAGATTATCCAAGGTGCTTCATGACCCATAATTGGGTCCCAAGCCCAACTTTGGGAACCAAAGTGCAGTGGTTCCCAAACTTTTCAGCTTTTGACCCACAAAACAGTAGCAGAGACCTGTGCCCCCAACCATTTTTGTATGATAAACAAAACATTTGTATCAGGTCAACTAAACATGGACATAGTAACAATATTTTTTATACTACATTTATCCATTTTAAATATACTAACCTCACACCTTTGTAGCAACTAAGGCAAAAATGTCATTAATTCAGAAAATATTTTCAGGACCCCACCTTGATGTTTCGGGACCCCACTTTGGGTCCCGACCCCAACTTTGGGAAACACTKGTCTAAAGTACCTCAAAGTGATACTTGAGTAAAAGTACAAGTATCTTATCATAAAAGTACTTTGGTAAAAGTTAAAGTCTTCTCTAAAAATATTACTTAAGTAAAAGTCTTAAAGTATCTGATATTTTTTGTGCTTAACTATTAGAAGTAAATTTCTGACACAAAATCTACTTAAGTWTTAAAAGTAAAAGTACTGAGTAAAAGTGAATAGTTAGATTTTCCAAAATGACATTTATTGGGAGGTGACTTCTCCAAAAAATATTTTTTTCTAACGGCTTGCTGCTGTGATGGGTTGTGTACAAGCTAATAGTGTGTCAGAATTTTATATATTTGTACTTCTCATCCAACCACAATTGAATTCACTCTGTCCAGGAGACAATTTATCAGGATAGTTTTTTTTAAGTAATAACTCAGAATAAAATAGGAGTAACGACTTTCTACTTCTTTCCTTTTTAAAAAATGTAGTGAGTAGAAAGTAAAGATAATTGTGTAAACATGTAATGAGTAAAAGTAAAAAGTACGCTGAAAAATAATTACTCAAGTAAAGTACAGATAACCAAAATTTCTACTTAAGTACAGTAACAAAATATTTGTACTTAGTTACTTTACAGCTCTGCTTCTTGAGCACACCTATTTTTCGCTGAAGAGCTTTTTACTCTTACATTTAGTCTTTTTTGTTTGAAGGAATTCCACAGACTCACTTCTTAAAGCTTTTTTGTTTAACAAGGAAAGTCGAGGACATTAAAGTATGACGAGCAAACCTGAGAGAGAGCCAGGGAACTCTGACCGTGCAGGACTTTCCCCTCCAAAAAAACAACCAAAATTAAAAAGCTGTCATAGAACGAGCTCGGAGGGAAAACTGTGAAAAAGTTAGTCACTTCTTTGGCGTGGACAGATGATCGTGTCCTCAGCATATGTGTGAGCGTTTACACATCATTTCCCCTGGAAAGTGTCATGCCGGCTGGTGGGCGGGGGTTTGGTTCTGGGTGGGTTGCGGTTAAGCCCTTGAGGTCTCCAGGGTTACTCTTGCCTCTGCTCTTCGTCAGCTTCTCCTCTCGCTCTTGGCTCGCGGAGATGGTCTGACAGAGGGGTAGACTGGCTAAGATGTGCCAGAGTGGCTATTAGCCGCTTGTCTTTCTGCTCCTCTGAGAACATGAAGGCCTCATTAGCTCGGTGAGCTCAGCTGTCCTCTKGTACTAAAGCCGTCGCTACAGTTCAACTGTGTGTGCAGATGAGCACGACCATACACTGCATGCTCCTAAGGATCTGTCTATCCCGTATATTAGTTCAGAAATATTTTTTATGTCTTTTTAAGGCACCAAAAGTTCAGCATATTTCTGTTTAATCATGAGGCAGTGCAGACACTGTCAACACAGTTTGAATGATTTAGTGTTTGATTTAAACTCATAATAAAATATAACCTTTTATAACCTAAAAGTGACTTTTATTAATACTGTTATGATAAAAATGAAGGTGGGATCCTTGTACTAATTTAGAAATTAGGGGTTTGTAGGTTTTACTTGGATCACAAGTTGGAAATTTCAGTTATTTTTAAGGTCTTTCTGCAGCCTGACGAAAGAAATCTGATGGTAAAGCAGAGATTCTCTTGTTTGAACACAGATCTCATGGTGTAGCTGTGGGAGAAAAAAAATAGGGGCAGGACTCCGATCTCAGCCAAATTTTTTCATTCAGATCTTGCAGATGTTCGTGCGGTGCCCAAAATAAAATAATATATTTGTCAGAACAGGTTTGAGAAGAACTGGAGACAATATCAAAGTTGGCAGATTTTTAAAAAGCAGCTGTCAGAGAAGATAACCCTGCAGAAGGACAGACTCCTCCACCCGACAGGGAGGAGGACGAGCCGGCCGCACAGGTGGACGTTAGCTAAAGTTAGCTGGACAGGAGCAGATGTGGAGCAGAGAGAGGAGCCGGCACGGAGAATTTTAGAGGAGTGGACCGGGCAACAACATCTGACCAACAGGTGCATGTTTAGTGAGAGRAAATGAGACGGGTGAATGGGCAACAGGCTATTTGTGTTGCTTTTGTTCTTGGAATTAAACTAAATAAACAATGAGAGGTATATTTGTTTGAAYAAAACTAAAAAGGTGTGCTTCTCTTTTACTTTAGACTTTTTTCCACCGAAACCCTCCATGTTTTTTCTGTGAAGGAGTCGGTTTTAGTTCATCATAAATCTCAGAAATTGTTTATATTTGGAACCAGACTTTATGAAACATGTAAAGCATCAAATATGAAATATAAATTACAGTTTTCACATAGATTCTGATGGTTTTGTTTGCTCAGTTAATCTCAGTCTTTTCAGTGCTCAAGTGTTTTTAGCTACAAGAAAGCTCATATATTGTCATTTTTTAAATGTGATGACTTTCATAATGTGCACGTTGATGCTCGGTGAGAAAGGGTGACACAAGAAGGCTGAYTTCTCTGACATCTGCTCAAACACCTTCCTGATGCCACTAACGCTGGCGCTGATAGTCCTGACGATGTTCTGTACAGACCTGATTATCGGCTGCCTCATCTTCTCCTTCTGATTTTCTCCCCGTCCTGTTTCCCAGGTGAACGAGGAGACCGTGGAGCACCTGGTGGTCCAGTACCCACACATCGTGTTCAGCACAGTGATGCAGGATTGCAAGAGAACCCTGGAGAGAGCGTATCAAATGGGCTGGAGCCCCAACACATCGAACTCTTGTTAGCTGCCATCGGGTCGCACTCACACGTAGTTTTATCGACACGCACAAACACACAACGTGCGTGTGCAGCTTCTCCTTCACTGTTCAAACGTGCATGTGAACTTGTCACTACACACAAACACAAATCCTGCTCATCGATGTCATTTTAGGACAATCTAGATTAGTTTGACATCTAATTAAACCATAAAGGTCTGTTTTGACCATAGCGTTAAGTTTGTTTAAACATGTTTCATTTGTGCTGTAAGTCAGAATTCAAACCATATATTCTTAGCAAGGTTTTTCCATCATCTTGTTTGTTATATTAGAGATAAGGGTGTAAGAGGAGAGTTTTGACTGGTTTTAAATATAGATCTATAAAGCAAAAGGTGAATCGTACAGTTTAATGTAGCCGTTGTTTGACCAGAATATTTTTTTAATAGGATAGAAAATGTTTTTTTTTTTTGTCCAAATGCAACTTCTGTGATATTAGCTAAACTTCTCCACTCAACTGCCGCTGAAAGATTGAACAAAAAAAGACTGAGACATGAAGAGAATATTTACATCTTCAGTCCACAGGTTTCACTTGTCACATTTCCGCTCACTGTTATCCCTTTTTGACATCAATCACAGTGTTAAAGGTATCTGTAAACTYTAATAACACAAGTTCCCATCCGGCCCAGAAACAGTCAAATTAATAACGCAAAAAAGATTTAAGCATCATKTAAAATATATGTTTCCACATAAAATCCTCTTTTTTTCAGCTGTTTTCAATTGTTTGTAATGTGAAGCTTTACGTGACTCCATCTCCATACATTGATTTATTATTGACAAATCATCACCTTTAAGTCATTTTAATATTGGAATCAGTGCTTGAAACAGAAGATGTCTTTACCCCAAATTCCCGAGTGACAATATTAGAAWAACTACAGAAAGTGAAGGTTAGATAAAACATTAAGTGGTTATTAGTTCCTCTCTGATTAGCAACTTTGTTCTTGATTTAAGAAATGTTTATCAAATGTGAGCTTATATGAAAGTATTTAGCCTTGTATTGGTTTTGAGCATAAACATGTACTATTATTAGCTGTGTTGTATTGCAATGAGCAGTTTAGTTTCTTAAGCCATTTATAGTAACCACAGTTTTGTAGCCTTACACGTGGTTCTGTTTATACTAAAATTCAGTCATTTATGCACATTGAATTCAGAGAAACAATTAGATGGTCTGTTTTTTTTTTTCTTTTTAAATTTATTTATGTTTCTTTTAATTCAGATTCTTAATCTAGATTCAGATGCTGTAGTTTTTCAACATAAACTGTTCAGTTACACATGTTTGGACTGCTCCTGGTTGGCTGCAGAAGGACAAGATGGATCTTTTTGGACCAGTGTAGGTGATAAAAATGTTCTAAAAATCGAATGCACAAAGATGCAGCGACCATGTGTTTGGCTTTAGTGGTGCAGGGAAAAAAAAGAATCAACGTTTATGTTTGATAGTTTATCATCCTTTAGTTTTAAAATACTTGAGCAGAGTATGGAAACGTAAAGAGCCAGGGGATTTTTCAGTGGCGTGAACCGGCTCTGGCCTCCACCCACTGATCAGAGCAATACCTTCCTGAGCCTGGAGTCTGAGGGGAAATACAAACTCTGAAAGCATACAGAGATTTCAGACAATTAAAAACTGCACTCATTTGACCCTTGTCAGGATTTGTAGACTTCTCCTGGAGGAGAATTTCTCCTTCACCTCATTTTTTTTATTGTAATCTCTGTAGGCATTTCCTTCTCTGCTAGATGTTGACACATTTGATTCCTGATTTGCTAAGGCAACCACAAATGACTGAATTTACATAATGATGAATAAAAACACTACAACTTCAAGCTTTTTTTTTATTCCTTTTATTTTTTTCTTTCAGCATGTGTGCAGCTACGGCAGGAAAAGAATATTCTTTTTGACAGTTGAATTCTTTTCTGCTTGTCTCATCAACAGACCTCGCGATTTTACCACCAGGATTTAAAGAGGTTTTCGATACATTAATTGCATTTTAAAGTGCCTGTGACATGCATATCCATGAATTATAAAAGGTCAAAGAAAATATATTTGTATTTAAGTAACTTGGCATAATACACATGATTTTACCCATTGTGTCACATAATTGGCATATTTCTTTTGAATTTGGCTCAACTAAAGTGAAACAGGAAGTGACGTCAAAGGGGAACTCTGAGAAAGAAAACTTCCTGGGCTGTGTCCAAAACTGCAGGCCGGGTCCTCCGAAGGCCGAATTCGTCGGCCGCATGCGTCACAGCGCCGCAACGAAGGACGTCCCAAACCGGCCAAATGCGGCCGACAAATACGTCTTTCCTTTGGCCCGAATCGAAGGACAGGTCTGATGGATCCTTCCCGGCCCAGCATATCCCATTATGCATTGCGGCCCGACCGGAGATTTTTTTTAAGCTAGTAATGGCAGACAAAGCGAGAGAAAAGAATGTTTTAAATAAAAAGTATGGCGATAAAAATTTTTAAAAATTTAGCGGTTGCAATTCTAATGCGTTTATCATTTGTATGGACATGTTTTCGAATATTATTTTTATAAAAAAATATGCGAAATAAACATGCACCTACAGCGGGCCAATTAGTTCTTCAAATGTTACCTTTAAGTTTATTTTATTGTTTTGTGATATTAATAATGCTAATATATCAATATTTTTCTAATTTTGATCTATTTTTGCTTCTGTTTAGCGTCGTAATGGTTGCTAGGTGACATGACGTACACCGGGATGGAGGGGAGGCTAGACCGTCCAAATTCACACACTTTTTTTCCGGTCTTCCCGGTCTACCAAGGACCCGGCCCACCTCGACAGGGTAGTCTGGGTCCTCCGGAGGACCCGGCCTGTCGTTTTGTACACAGCCCTGGTTTTTGTTTATCGAAACAATTTTATTTGAACTCTGACTCTTCCTCATCTTTCTATGATAATGATTAAAATAATCTAAAGAAACATCAGATTCTTCTCTACAGTCTGTGCTGCTAGCCATTTTAGCAACACTCTGTTTACATTCAGACATTCCCCTTTGACATCACTTCCTGTTACTTCACCTGCAAATATCTCAAAAGCTGTTCATCTCAGCAACATGAAATATTTTTTACAGTATGTTGCCAATGTTATTTTTCCAAAAAAAAAAATACATTCATATTTAATGCAAATATTTGACCTCATAGGCACTTTAACTTGTGGTAAAAAAAAAATGGAGGAATCAAGTATGAACTTCAATTGCGCTTGTGTTTTGAGAGAAAATGCACAGAAGAATGTCAGCATGTTTTTCATCACAGTCAAGCGTTTTTGGCTGTGTGCCTTTRTCCCTTCAAAATAAAGCTGTTTTCCGCAGATCCCAGCGCATTTATTATGCTTTTTTTCCGTGACACGGAGCCAACCCAAATGTCCATTAAGAGACACCTTCAAGGTTGGAGCTATTTACGGTGGCAGGAATTCCACATCTGAGAGACAAAGTGAGGAGACATCAGCTTGTTGCCCAGCAAGGCAGCGAAGGCCTCAAAGAGCTAACAAGCTGCCACTCAATATGTTCCTTCTCTTTGGCAGCATTGTCCCTTTCAAGTGTCTGTTTTATTGTTCAACATGTTTCTGTTGTTTCATGTCTGACGATCAAACGTGGGATAAAACAGGATCCAAAAGTCGCTTCTTCCCAGATTGATTCTTTCTGTTGTCAGCACAGTTTTTTTTTATCAAGTTGAAGCTTAACTTATTTAAATAGAGAATTATAAATTGTAATTAAAATTATGCCATACAGAAAATAAACAGCAGGCAAACACATCATAAGTAGGAGTAGGAGCTTTGATGCTGAAATCATTTTAGATTAAATGAACATGTTTTTTTATCCTGTAACATCAAAATGTCAATTTTGAAACAAACTTAAAAAAAGTAAATTTTAAGATGATTCAGTGTTTTTTGTACTTTTTCTTCATTATTCCTGTTAAGTTAGGAAAGCTCAAACTCTACAGGATAGTTGTTTATTTAATAATCTGTTATCAGATAAATGAAATCTACCAGATGTTTGTCAAATTTTTTTTCTCCCCAGAAATCTTTTAACAGTTCGAGGAAACTTTCCTGTGCCAAAAGCAGATGCTTGAAACGGAGCAGACTGATAAGTTAAATGTTGCGCATCACTTCCAGATTTTCCCAGAACAAATTTGTCAAAAAAATCTGCCAGAAAGTGAAATTTTATTCCATGATTTTATTTATACGTGTTAGATTTTTGGCTTTTCATCTTTACAAATAATGAGAAAGCTTAAGCGGACTCACTCATAATCTAAAGTGGTGTGAAAGAGGAAAYTGTTTATTTGTAGAATAATATTCTCTGACCGAAGCTGAGCTGTATTAAGTGYCTCCTGCTGCGGCTCATTTGTCATCTGCTCAATGTGAGCTTACATCTGCTGGGATGTTTGGACCCATTAGATTTTATGTCTGTTSTGTGTKTTTTTTTTTTCTCATAAACTCGCTGAACTAGTTTCTAAACTTTGCACACTTTCACTAATAACAAAATTGAAAAGAAAAATGACATTTTTTTTCCTGTCATAGCACATGATGCCACTTGATGTATGTTGGTGAAACACGTACAAAAGGGAAACAAATTGAAGAACCGTCATTGATTGGATGAACACTCCTCCGGTTAAAGAKAAGTAGCACCTTTTCTCCAGCAGCATAACATTATTGGTTGTTAACCGGAGAGACATTATCAAAAAATGGCCCGGTCTTTTCTGCACTTGTTATAAACCTTCTGATTTTYCCCCCCGAAGGACAAAGTATTTCAATATCTTTGCTACAAATGAGCTGCCCCCCCACCAACACCACCACACTCCACTCTCATTTCTCTCCTGAGTAAATTATGCAGCTTGCTGAATTTTACTGCCACCAATTAGCGCCTTTTGCAAATGTGAAGGTATGCCAGCGATTCTCCTGCTGATTGAGGTGGATTCAAGTTACTCGCGCCGCTCGGACTTCTGCAATATTCATCAAGGTGGCGGGACGCGTTCGCGCTGGCGCTMGGATGAGAGACCTGCCCTCCGGGAAGGAAAAAAGGGAGAGAGCAGGCCACTCCAGAATAGCTTATGGAGAGCAGTAATTAAAAGGTGGTAAATATTCATGTGGTCATTACATTTTTAATGAGGCGCTGATAAGAGTTGACGCTGACCATACAGGACATTTGTCATGTTGGACCTGCAAGGACATTAGTCTCGTCTTCCCAAGAAATTAGTATTTTTCTAGACCTAATCATAGCTGACATTGACGGATGTCCTCGACTGAAAAGGCAGAAGATTGTTTGAACGTCCTCACAAGAGTTGATGCGTTACATGAGGTCATAATGAAGGCAGTCTATTTTCCCACAATAAATGAAACGCTGACAAAAACTAAGTGCGTTACGTTGGAGGCTTTAAGAAACGCTTCAGATCTTGACCTGAATGCTTGACTGAACAGAGGTGGTGTTTATTGTGATGCATGAGTTTTTCTCTCTATTATGGTGGTGGTTTAAAACAGTGGATCTACATAATTAGGAAATGTTTAGTCTCTTGACAGTGCAAAGCTTTTCAAATGTTTTTGCATTAAAAAGGGACATATATAAAATCCACTTTTTTAATTGTTAAAGGGGCAATATCATGTAAAATCAACTTTTTTGAGTTTTATATCATGTTAAAATGTTATACTCTCATAAAAAACATGCCCAAAGCC